CCACCTGAAGGCACAATCTGAGGACGGACGCGGGCAGCTGCTCCATCGGAGCAGAGCCCCCTGAGAACCCCAGAGGGGATTTCTGTGCAGAGGAGGAAAGGCCTTGGCGGCAGGTGCTGAGCTGGGGGCCTGATTTCCACAGCCCCTCGCCTACTGGATGCAGAGGGAGGAGGCCGAGGTGCACATCGGGGCGGCCTCCCTCAGCTGCTCCCTCCTTCGATACGCAAAGCACCTGCCCTCGTTTCAGGTAAGGGCCCCCAGCACGCCCCACACCTGGGACCTGGAGGGAGCAGGAGGGGGCTGAGACCCAAAGAAATGGGAGGGGGTCTTCCATGATGGCCTGCAGTGGTTACCAGCCCCACTCCCACTCACTCTGGGCCCGACTCTGAGCTCAGAAATACCCCCAGCCCTCCTTCTAACTTTGATAAATGATGGTTTATGAAAAAGGAATGGACACTGTGGAAAAAACATATTAGACTGGATTGGTAATGAAATGTTAGGAGAAGTGATTTGAAGTGAGTTAATTTATACACCTTTTAAGGTATGAGTTGGGATCAGTTCATCAAGAAAGTATATACAGACTTGATTGGTAATGAAATGTTACGAGAGGAGGTTGGAGTCTGTTAATCTGTATCCTTTTTTAAGGTATGATGTGGGACTAACGAAGGGAAAGGAGTTTGTAAGCCGCTCTGAGACACCTTTGGGTAGTGAAGGGTGGGGTATAAATCCCTCCTCCTCCTCCTCCTCCTGGCTTCCCTGGCCCCACTCTTCCCACCGCCTTTGCTCTCCCGCCCTCTTTGTGGTCTGAGCACAGAAGCCCTGGAGGGAGGCGGCCTTCTCTGGCCCACCCGGACCTATGTGCTGAGTAGAGGCAGGACCCCTGGGTCTTGAGTGGGGGCTCTGAGGGAAGCAGGGAAGGGCTGCTGGGGAGCCGGACCGGGCCTAAGAATGGGGGAGGGTGGCTGGAGCCTGACCGGTCCTCTTCCAAAGGTGGCCGTGGCCCTCTGGAGCTTCCCTGGCGGGGCAGAGGGGAAAGCTGCCTGGGAGGAAAGTCCACACGAGGCGGGCTCCTGAGAAAGGAAAGGGGTGTCCTGGAGAGTGTCAGGAATCCCTCCAGAGGTGGGCAAAGAGGAGCGGGCAGTCTCTCGAGATCCATCCCTGGAGGATGGGGAGAGAGGCTGAGAAGGGGGGAGGAGGTCTCCATGCAGAGCCCATCTCCCAGGGAATGGCGTTCTGGGTCCCCAAGAGAGAGAGACGGCCGAGCGGAGCGTCCAGAGAGGAGAGAGACTCTGCCCTGCCCACCTGGACATCCCTAATAAATAAATTTCTGCATAAAAAACAAACACATAAACAAACAAAATAAAAAGCAAATAAATAAATAAACAAAATAAAAAAAATGAATTGTATAGCTGTGATACTGTAGGTTGAGCAATAAATAAATAAATAAATATGCAGAAAGATATTTCTGATATAACTATCTCTGCTGAAAAGGAAATAGAATTGAAATGGCTGAAATAGGGAGTGAAATGATGGCTCTTTCCCCTCTTATATGGGTTGCTATTATCTTAGTAGTATTAAGAGTTAATGTTAATGAATGAATCTAAAATCAAAGTGGGAATTGGGTGAAAACAGAATTGATTTGTACTTATGGAAGTACTACACATAAAGTGGTTTAATATCTGGAATGTAATTCATATAGGGAGATAATTGAAAATTAAAAAAATAATAATAACAGAATAAATTTTGATAACTCTGTAGAGAGACATGAAATACACAATTGGTAAATTTAATGAGATGATAACTTATTAGAAATGGAATCAGAAAAGGATTGCTATGTACATGTTAAATGTTAATTCCAACTGGTGGTGTTTGCTTCTCTGAGATGTGACAATAATGTACCAATATCTTGTTATTTCTTGTTCTTTTGAAAAATTAATAAAAAGATTATTTTTAAAAAAGAACAGAATAAATTGCCTCCTTTTTGACCTCTGGGAAGGACGGAAGGTCCCGGAGGAAATGAGGGGCATCCTGTAAAGAACAAGTAATGCCATTTTCCAAGGGAGGGGATGGGGGAGGGCTGGTATGAAGACCGATATGTCCAAACAGGCACCGGTGCTGCCTGAAGCTTTATCTGCTGCATGGGTAGCTACCACTCCCCCTGCCCCGTGTACAGACAGGAGGTGGAGACGGACCATCCTCGGGACTGGGTCTGGATAGGGCAATATATCCTAATCAATCGGGCCCCATTCCCAATCGCAATATTGCATATTCGGAAAACGTTGAATGTAATTCAATATGCACACAACCGAGTGCTTACTAATTCAGGCTCTCAACATAGAAAAAGCTTTTAATAAATTAGAACCTGCTTATTTACTATCACTACTCTGACATATGCAATTTGGCCTGGGATTCCTTTGTATTATTCAAGCCTTTTATGAAAGACCCAGACCAGGTCAGGGCTCTTATTTACACTGCTGGTGGCAATGTCCTATAATTTATAACTTTTGGAGCACAATCAGAGACTAAATACATAGTATTACTAATTATTTTCTTCCTTTAAATCCAGAGATTATGTTACTAAATCTATGGAATCCAACCAATATTGCTCCAGTACAAAGAGATTTGATCATAATATTGCGTGCGGCAGCAGGGGGTGCAATTGTGTCTGTTTGGAATAAACGTGTTCCTCCCTCTATGAAAAGTTCGTATAGAATAATATGGGAATACATTACAATGGACAAGATTCTGGACCAAGTCTCTTATCAATCTCATATCCCATCCCCTTCTAACTACTTTGCTTTTTGGTATCCATTGTTGAATTTCTTTGCAGCTAACCCAACTATTTCATTCTAATTATATAATTGACATCCTCCTTTGTTAAATCGTTATTGATAATTGCTATAGTGTTATTATTTGCTATAGTGTTATTACTGTAATTGCTATAGTGTTATTACAAAAGCTTTTGTGATGCTTAATTTAAGTTTTCATTTTGATCAGCCATGTTACTGTTTTCCCTTTTCTTTGTTGTTTGTATGTTATTGTTGTTGATGTAAAAATATATAAACTAAAAAAAAAAAAAGGAGTCCACTGAAACCAGCAAACTCCAGCTCTAGGACTCAACCAAATCCAACCATGAGAAATATTTAGCAGCCGACAGTGATATTTTCCCCGACTAATCTCCAGCTGACAGAGATCACCTCCCCTGGAGAAAATGGCAGCTTTGAAGGGTGGACTCTATAGCAGGGGTGGCCAAACTGTGGCTCAGGAGCCGCATGTGGCTCTTCACACATATTGCTCCCGGCAGGTTGGCTGGGGAAGTGAAGGGGAGGTATGCCTCCCCAATCAGTCTTCCCTTTCCCAGCCAGTGTTCCCCTCCCTGGGTGGGGGGGGCAGAGAAAGAAACTTTAAATTATTTCTTTTCATCTTTCTCTCTTTCTCCCTTCCTCCCCCTCATCTATTTGCTTTTTTGTTTCTCTCTCTCTCTCTCAGACAAATATCATTAGCAAACAAATAAACATCATCGGACAAATAAATATAATCATAGGGGTAATCTTTGTGAGGGCGGCGGGGCGTCAGCCCCCGCCGAAATTTTCAGGAAGGTGCTCAGCCTCCACCCC